AAGCTCCATCTAGAGCCTGGAGCTTTTGTTCAACCTGAAGGCAATTGAGCATTTAGCTCTGGAGGGTTCTGGTTCAAACCACAGAGTACTGGTCCCAGAAGGCATGACAGCCTTTGTGCTCAAAAGTGCCTCTTTCCCACAAAAACCCACAGGAGCAATTTTATCCTCAACATGGCTCCTCATGTTTGCAGCACCTGGACCCCTCCCGCACCGCCCACACTGAACCAAAATCTCCCCGACCTGGGGCAAAATAACATTAAAAATAAAAACACAAAACCCTCTGGGCTAGAGATGCTTCCTCGGGAGCTGAGTGACCATTTCTTCCCCTCGGCTGCTTCCACGTAGGGCTCCCAATTCTCCTCTGCTCAGCTCTTCTCTAAGCTTATCTCAGTTTGCTTTTACAGGCTTCATTTTTAAGCCATTTCTTTTTGTCAACTCAGCCTCCCTGCTCTCTTTCTTGCCAGACAGACTCAGAACAGGTCCTACCAACTCGTCTCAGTCTGAGGAGAGGAGGCCTTTCAAATTGAAAAATGATATCCACAAAGGAGACCTTTCCAGAAAAGGACAAGTATGTAAGAAGAAGAAATTATAATGAATGAGACTGGCAGCTTTCATTATGGTGAATACTACCAAGAAAATTCCATGCTTCAATGTGTCCTCGGGTAGTTATTGAAATTAGGATCCTTCTGTCAGTGACTGGAAGATTGACATAACATTTTTGAAAGGCTTAAAAGTATAAGTGTCAATCAGAAGCCGTGTTGCTGATTATTCTAATTTTTCTGTGACAGATTTGATCATTTTATACTGGGATACAACACACACACCCTTAAACATAGCTCCAAACTTGTACATGTTTCTTTTTGGTAAATTAAGCATTACTGTTGTAAAGAGCAGCCATTTTGATCTTATAAGTGCTGCACAATGATACAAAGGAGACGCATCCCCCATACTCTCGCCTGGGAAATATACTTTAGTCCTTCTCTGTTGTTTTCCATATTCCAAAATGAAACAATGATGTAAATGGACGCCAGACTGGCCACAGACATTGTCTGTATGATGCCATGTTGGCAAGCCATTGCGGCTTGAAAATGGGTGGTGGAGAGTAACTGCAATACATGAGCAATACATGGCTCACACGTAGCACTGAGCACTGTGGAGACTCTGGGCTGCTCTGGGTTGTGGACAGACCATAGGCAGCCTGAGTAAAGCAGCTATACAATTACTCTCACTCGAACATGTAAACCCCAGATAGTCCAGAATCAGGCAGCACAGAAGTTTCCTTTGTCCCATGTCAGAGTTGTGCCATGTGCTCTGAGCCTCCAAGGTCATTAAACAGCAGCTATAGAAATTAGGGACACAATTATTCTGTTTACACAGTAATGTCTCCCTTGTGGCATTCTGAACTTACCCTTCTCCTTTTACAGCAACTCAGCCCAAAACCACAACTTCCGATTCGTCTGTAATTGGACGGACATGTACGGCGGCAGATGCCTCCAGCACGACGACAATCACGGGGGCTAATGATGCCCTGTGTGATTCCTGCACAAAGTGTCTTCATTTTCATTCACATATCAGTGTAAACAAGGGCTGTGATTGCAGCATGACGGGCATTTCCCATTAGTTGAAATTGCAATTCACTGAGACAAGGCCAAGTCAACCCAATTATCTTCCTGTGCCTGTGCCCAGTCAAAGGCTGCTCCTAAGAAATGAGCAGAGTGAGTTAATTCAGGAGATCTGCTGGCTTCCTGGCTGCAGGCTTCCGAACTGTAGCACTGAGCACGGGAGTCCTTCCCAGCCCCACCCCTGTACAGGATGGAAAGCAGGCAGCTGCCTGCACCACCAACTTCTAAGAGTGGGGCAGTGGTTTTGCTGCCGTGGTTTTGACTCTTTCTGATCCCAAACATTGATGTACTAGGCAGTATCTAAATGCTGATTGGCTGAGCAGGGTTAAACCAGCTCAGCACTGGGTTGGGTGGCTGGTACTTTTAGAAAGAGAAGGGTTTAAACCAGTCCCTCCAGTCAGAACGCCTGATTGTCAGTGAGACTCGGCACAGACATTCTTGTGAAGACTCAGCACTTGGCAATACTGACTCAATGATCAATTGCCAAGCTTAGACATTCCAGACAGGTTTTTCCTTATGAGAATGTGGCTCAAATGTCCTTTAGGATATTAATATTAGACTATTTTAAACTGGATTTTAGCTGTGCTTTCCTTAAAGTATCCACTGTGACATTCCCCAGGGTAGAGTCTGGACCAGTGAACAGCCGTATTCCCTCAGGTCTCCAACCTGCAGTGCCTCCTACACTGCTCCGCTGTCAAAGCAACCACTTCTGGTCCTGCTCATGCACAGTCCCTAGCATGTAAAGTCACTCCCAGGTGAATTAGAGTTTTCATCATACATGTACTTAGAAATTGTGATCAAGTCACCCCTTAACATTCTCTTTGTTAAGATAAAGAGATTGAATTTTCTGAGTCTATCACTATACGGCATGTTTTCTAATCCTTTCATCATTCCTGTGGCTTTTCCCTGACCCCTATGCAACTGATCAACATTCTTCCTGAAGTGTGGACACCAGAACTGGAAACAGTACTCAAGATGTGGTCACATCTGATGATGCGAAATAGAGAGGTAAAATAATCTCTCTAATTCTACTCAAGATTTCCCTCTTTCTGCATCCAAATTATGTATTAACCCTTTTAGAAACTTTC